TTAATTTTTTTTTTCAACGTTTATTTATTTTTGGGACAGAGAGAGACAGAGCATGAACAGGGGAGGGGCAGAGAGAGAGGGAGACACAGAATCGGAAACAGGCTCCAGGCTCTGAGCCATCAGCCCAGAGCCCGACGCGGGGCTCGAACTCACGGACCGCGAGATCGTGACCTGGCTGAAGTCGGACGCTTAACCGACTGCGCCACCCAGGCGCCCCTAAATGTTCATTCCTAATCTGTCTTCTGACAGCCTTCTTTCCATCTCAAAGATGGTAGGAAAGTTGAAGTCCAAAAAGCTTACCTGACTTCCCACCTTACAGATTAATGACCTAAGAGTCCCAGAGCAGCTAAGAAAACTTAAACCCAGGTCTGTGTTCTCCATAGTCTTTCCCTTCCTTGTCTATTAGTAAACTGAGAACGTGTTTTGTTGTTTTGTTGTTGTTGTTGTTTAATGTTTATTTATTTTGAGAGAGAGTTAAAGGTCAAGTGGGATAGGGGTAGACACAGAATCCCAAGGAGGCTCTGCGTTGTCAGCACAGAGCCCAATGCAGGGCTCGAGCTCACAAACCACGAGATCACGACCTGAGCAGAAATCAAGAGCCGGATGCTTAACCGCCTGAGTCACCCAGGCGCCCCAAGAATGTGTTTAAACCTATTCCACTCAGATCCTAGTGTTTAAAATTTTGTGAAAAGGCAGAGGCCATCATCTGACAGCCCTGTTCAAAACCCTCACGGCACCAAGAGCAGACCGTGAGTGGTAACATGTCCACAGCAAAAAGCTTGCACAGCACGTCCGTATCATAGAACGTTTTGCTTCCGCCAGGTGCTGCATAAATTCACCTCGTCTTTACCACAACCCTATGAGCCAGGCACTACTATTACCCCATCTTGTAAATGAGAAAACCAAGGCAACACTAAATAAAACCCTTCTAAAAAGCGAGTGTCCAGATTCCAACCCAGGCAGCCTGGTTCCAGAGTGTGTGCCTGTACCACTTACTGGACTACAGGCTTCGTGCTACAGACGGGACACATGGGGTGCGATTCAGGTGACCGCAGTTAGGGACTGGAGTCCTCATTTGTTCACATCATCCCTGACGCCTTTGTATTCCTGCCGAAACCACACAACGAACCCCTTTCACACAGAAAAATAACTACGTGCAGAAGACGATCTACTTTTCGAAATGCAATGCAGAACAGTGATAGATCTTAGAATTCTAGAACTCCCCATCTTCCCTTTTAAACAAATACGGCTTTGTTTTCAAGTCAAAACGTCTGTCCAACTCCTGACTTCTCCACATCCACGATGTTCTGGTACAATAATATTCCTCCAAAGCATATAATGAAACAGAACACTTAAAAAGGGCTGCCTTGCTTTGCTTCTCACTGTAAGACAATATGGGAGCCATCGCCACTGCTTAGACGGATAGTGAAATTAAATGCAAGTAATTAGTACAAAAAGACACCCAATTATACATAATCAACAAAAATTTATGGTAATTTCAAAGCAGTTAGTGCTTTTGCAAGGAGCTGCATTTTGTCATCTGATCTGTATGCAAAATTTAACAGAAGGGCTTTTCCACCAACAGAGAGCGCTCAAATGGAAGGCAGGCTTTGGCATGCCACTGATTTTTGCCACTAGAATCTCACATGCTTTGTTGCCTACAACTGAGAACTATCTCCAAGCCGTGAAGTCAGAACACGGCCCCTGAAAGTAAGAGAACTGTTGGCCGCCCACCAAATGAGCAAGTTGTGTTTTAATCAATTCATCCGCCATCTGACTTGATAAACCTAGACCAAAAATCCAAACCCGCTGCTATCGTGTCCTTTGATAATCAGAAAGCAGATTGGTCATTTGTTTTTTTAGCCTGAAGGCAACTCAAGGCTCAGAAGACAAACAAGTTTCCTTTCATGCTCTTTAAAAAAAAACAGACACAACAAAAGTGTACTTCTCTTGGGGCGCCTGGGTGGCGCAGTCGGTTAAGCGTCCGACTTCAGCCAGGTCACGATCT